GCTTCATTCATCATCTCAAGGTTTTCAACTTGTGGTCGTCCCCGAACCACGAGCCTTTCTCTTGCTTCCCTAAAATCCCTCTCCCAAACTAGGAGTCGGAGAGTACGATTGATGTTATCGTCGAGTGGTGCCAAAGGTGTCGAGTTGCTCAGGGTCATACACCTCTTGCACACACTTCCAAAATACCACACAAGACAAGACAAGCAAGATCCAAACTCCAAAAACCTTGACTCGACTACCACTACACTTAATCCCAACTATACGCCAAGTGCAACCTATAGACGGGTTTAGGATAGGGCAAGTATTTCAATATCAACCCAAGCGGTCTATCTGTTCTTACTTTAATTGTTCACACGTTGTTCTTTTTGTGGTTAAATCTAGAAGACTAAACAAATTAAACAAGCAAGTAAACTTTGAAAAGTTACATGTAATAGTCCATCGTCCTGGCTTCATCATCTCCTTGCTAAGCTTCGTTCATCATCTCAAGGTTTTCAACTTGTGGTCGTCCCCGAACCACGAGCCTTTCTCTTGCTTCCCTCAAATCCCTCTCCCGAACTAGGAGTCGGAGAGTACAATTGATGTTATCGTCGAGTGGTGCCAAAGGTATCGAGTTGCTCAGGGTCATACACCTCCTGCACACTCTTCCAAAATACCACACAAGACAAGACAAGCAAGATCCAAACTCCAAAAACCTTGACTCGACTACCACTACACTTAATCCCAACTATACGCCAAGTGCAACCTATAGACAGGTTTAGGATAGGGCAAGTATTTCAATATCAACCCAAGCGGTCTATATGTTCTTACTTTAATTGTTCACACGTTGATCTTTTTGTGGTTAAATCTAGAAGACTAAACAAATTAAACAAGCAAGTAAACTTTGAAAAGTTAGATTGAGAAAGAATCACTCGAATATTGCTCCCCCTAGTCTCGTGTCAAGATATAACGATTGAAACTCTAGTGTAATAAGTAGGATCACATACCATGAGGAGGTTGCAATTAGCTAGGGAAACCCTAAGCCTCTCAATCGATCAATTAAGGATTATCACAATTAGCTAGGAAACCCTAAGCTCTTAATCGATCGACCAAAGATTGCAAAATGGTCCCTCAGAAGATAAGCTGGAACAACGAAAAACTAACCAATCAAGACGATATCATGGCACTACTTGGATTAATGAGGAATGACCCGAATTGCCCTAGAGAAGGTTACGTAAATGGCCAAGATTGGGTTATAAGGGGATTTCCTCCTTCTAGGTCAACTAGTCCCAAAATTGAGATATGAACAATCAACATCCAAATTCCATAAATGATACCTAAAACATTATATTAATCACAAACCCAACACACATAGAGTTTAATTCCTACAATCTAACACAAATTAGGGTTCACAATATCAAAGTGAAATTTGAGACTACTCCATAGCTAGAGAAGAAAACATAGATAAGAGAGAAAAAAAACCCATGTCAAGATAATCTTCATTCCTCTTAGATGCTTGATTAAACCTTTGGAGAAGAAATCAACGTTCCTCTAGCCTTGGGTAGGTGAAGTTCTCTTTCCTTCTTCCTTACCTCGTAGCTCTCTCTCTCTCTAGGACCCCCCCCCTTTGAATTCAGCCAACTCTCCCTTATATAGGTCCGGAGTCCACAAATCACGGTCTCACATCACGCCCATAAAATCGATAGTGAAAACGTGATCCTGGCACAAAACGCACCGTTTCACTAACGAACTTCATAGACAGTTGTTGACCACACGGTTTTGAGACCGTGATCTTGACACTGCCCCCGAGCAATATGAACCCTCCTAGAACCTTGAGAAATTCACTATGGGAGTGTTGACATCACGGTCTGAGCCCGTAATAATTTCTCTGCACCCGTGATCTCTGCACTTTCAGCCGTTTTGCTCCATTTTCACCTCTTCTATCCGACTTTTGAACCTGGTGTCAAGATTACCTGCTTAGGTCTGAAACATGACAAAAAATGAAGAAACCCCGTGTAGACTAGCTCCAAGGATGGCGCAAACACATCCAACGTCGTAAGTAAAAGTGGCGCAAAAGTGTGTAATCTAACCCGAATCAAATTCCATGGAAATGACCCCAAAAATTGATATTTTATATATAAAGAGGGTGAAATATCTCTGGTTAACCACAACCATACCCCTTAAGTACTTTCGAATCCCAATGTTGGCGAGGATCTTATTCTTAGTTTGAAAATCGAGTTTGAGTTTGGGGTACTCTGATCTTTGTAAACGTTTTGTAAAATAAAAGGAGGCAGAAAAAAAAAATCACAAGACCCTAAAAGAGGAAGGCAATAAAAGGAGGAACTATATAGACAAAGCTCCTCCTAGAGTTTTCTTTAATTCATATTAGAGGGATATGAGATATATATAGATGACTAAAGGAATTCATGCATATTCACCTACTCAATATTCTCCATTGTCATACGATTGACTGGTGGATGTCTCATTTGGAGATGGACTAGGGCGACTTGTCATGATTACCGGCTTATTGCATATGTTGGCTACAAAGCCATGTATCAAGAATCAACTAATACGTTGTCTAAGGAACCTCTAGAGCTCATAAACCTATAAAACCATCGAACTAGCCACTAATACGGATAGGATACAAAGAGTGCAGCGATCAAAAGATGAGTCCACCTAGATTCTGTAAATGGCGACCTAAAGGCGAAAATGACACCTGACACTTGAGCTTTTGACAAATTTCTGGTTCTAGTAAGTTGCTCTGTAGGCTGAGTAAACCCCCTATTCAAAGTTTTCATCAAATGAGGATCGAAGGGGTCTATTTTAGGCCTTTCCATCAAGTTTTTCCAAGTGATTTCTTATGCATTATAGCATCAACAGGTCTACCGGACGAGTTAGGGAGAGTATTTTGGTCTTTTGTATTGCAATATTTTATGGAATTTATTATTATTATTATTAGTTTCTTAGTTAAGACATAACAAGTAGTTGAGTCCTAGTTGGAGTGGGTTGGTAGACAGCCAGGAATGGGTAGGATTAGGGTTTGTGTCTTTTTGTTAATAATAAGTACATTTATGTACATTTGAGAGCACTTCCAAGACCTGGAGAGTTTGGCCGCAAGAGTTAGAGCTACGGAAGCTACCGATTTCCAATACGCCGCAACTAATCACGCCAATCTCAAGATCTATGCTTGCAGTTCCATTATGAAGAATTTATGCAACCGCAAATCCCTTCACCACAGTTGTACCAACACCCTCTTTTTTTGTAAATCCCATTCACCAACCATTAGTGTGTGGTGCATCTGAGGGCCACAGGATTTTTGCTTCTTCAATTACACGTAACATTTCCTCATGACCATGGGTTTTACTACTTGGTGGCGAATCATTACCCAACTTATTATCTTGTCGTTACTAGGTTGTGAAGGAAGGAGTAAGGAAAGAAGGAATCATAGCCACCAATGATAAGCAACCTAGAGCGGAGGTCTTCACCATAACGGGTTTTCCATTGGACGTCACGAAAACCTAAGAACTAGTAAACATCGCTAGACTAGCCGTGGAGCTGTCTCCCAAATGGAAGAGTATTTTTAAAAATACAAGCAACCTCTTATGATTATCGGTTCTGGCTAGCCAATGATCACTATCACAACCGAGGTCATCACAAAGAATGGCAATCTTGAGAGCTAAAAAATGGATAAATTTTCTTATGTTTCCAGGAAAGAATCGACCGCTAAGGGGAGAGGCCACACAAAAAAGCACTTTATCGACACATTTTTTTTATACAGAGGAGACGGACGTTGTTGATTTAATTTATATGGCTCAAGGTTTGATGATGGCCAAGGAGATGGCTGTTGACGGTTCCCCAACGAGAGATATGGCCTCCATGAAGCTAATTTCATGCTAAGTGAAGGGTGGGAATCCCATTATTTTCATGGGACAACTACTCCCGTTGATGCTTGTGACAACATAGGGGAGAGTCTCTACAGGAACTGGATACATAGGAAGACACGGGGAAAGAAGTCAGCAGGAATCTTTGTATTGCCAGAAGTAGATATGCACATAAGCAAAGTCGTGCCAAGATTGGATGGATCAATCCAATCCATGTGATTGTATCAGTGCGTGGGTGTGTTGGGACTTGAATGGGAGGTTTGATCGGAGGTCTACTATACACTTTCGATCCAACCCGTTCTAAAGTTGATTTTCTAGGTGGAAAGACGACCAACTCTCCCTTCAATTGCTTCAAGTATGGCGGAAGTATGAAGGTAGATTCGCAAAAAACCAACCTTCAATGATAGCATGAAGAGGTTTGAGTCGCATGGGTCCAACGAAAATAATGCCAGTGGAGTTGAGGAAAAGGAAGACAAAATCTACAAACATGAGACAAATAATGCCCTGAGCCGACAACTTGGGTTACGATAAACAATTTGGAACGACGTTTCTGGAAAATGGCGCCCGAGTTAGAATCCCTTTATGTTTTCTTGTTAATTTGTTGAAGAGAATGGATGGGTTGGCTTTACATTGAATTCTCTTTGTGAAAAGTTTAGTTCTCAACCATCCTCACCCATAATACTCACCTTCATTTTTATTGATAGTTGGTTGATAAAATTTTGTTTGATGGTGGATAACCTTCATGTCGTGTTCAACAAATTTAGGGCTCTAACTAACCAACTCGACGTTGTTTGTAGATTTATATTACTAGTCAGTCATCACCAATGCATGCATATAACCTAGCCATCAATTATCTTGACGAGTAACTTGAGCGCTTGATATCCACATCTGTGGTATGGAATATTGTTCATTTTTTTTTGAATTTTTAATCACCAAGCATGTGTGAAGAAAATACTTGTAGTTGTTATGTATGTTATGGAGTATGCTTGAGCTCTTTTACTTCGTTAGCAGCTATTGTGCACCGCGCTTTGACTAATCAATTTAAAATAAAACTGAATTCGTTGGTCTGTGTACTTCCTAGTCATAATTTATATTGAAAATTGCAGATCACATTTGTATCTTTATGATTTTCTTGTGGATGCTACCAGCTATATTTTACAGACTAGGAGTAATTCGATGCTTTACAGTAACCGATGGGTTCTTACAATTTTGTTCGTTTTTCCTCTATCTCACTTTACATGATATTGAAATCATCATCTACACCATGCAATTCTCCTTTTAGATTGTGTTGTTGGATTATCAAAACAGAGGTCTTGTGTGAGAGATCTGAACCTGAAAGAACATCCCCAACTGGCCCTAATTCTGGGCATTGTTGCCAGTCATTCATTCCAATTGTCAATATCGAGTCCACCCTTCCTCCTCTTCCTACAATAATAAGTGCATACTGCCCTTCCAACGATCTCAATGTTGAATAAGTTGCAGCTGAATTAGCTAAATGCTTCTCCATATATGCAACATACCCAGCAGCAACATGGGTCTCGTAGAATTGAGCAAAACATTCATCGTCGAGCTTCACTTCTTCTTCCTTCTCTGCCATGTTCACTCTGTAATTACCTCTCCTAGAGGCCTCTGAACTGTCATCTAGCAAGAACCTTAACACCGTGAGCTTTACTCCTGAGTGCCTTGCTACCCTGCCTGCATATGCCAGTGCTTCTCTGTCATCTCTCCCGCCAATGAAAATAACAGCCACAAGAACTGACTTAGACATCTTTGATATGCTATCTAGAGCTCCAAAGCCTCTATCTACTAGGATCCCAACAGAACATGGAGCATTCCTCAGCACCTATTAAAAAAAGAATAGAAATGACATGCCATCCATTAGCTAATACATATTTGGAAATACACCTTCAAGTATAGGGAAAATGAGGATACACGGGTTTTTTTGTTTCTCAATTGTATACCTTACGGTTCACATATCTGAATCCGGGATTGCCATTATCTAGTGATCCATCTGGTTTTTGTGTCTTATGAAAAGGAAGTATAATTAGGGTGGCCATCAAGTCCTCCCCTAATAGGAAAATGTCTTGGGCCATTCCATTGAATGTCGAGAGAGCAAGCATTCTTCTAATCGTGATACCTTCACCACTTTCGTCTACATAAGCTTGTATATTGGAGGAGATGAGATCTCTCATCTCTGTCACATTTTTGTCCGTTACAGTCACAGTGTCTAATCCATCACTCTGCACTAATGTGGCTGCAATTTGGTCTGTGAGTTCAACCATGTCGGTCACAAAGACCATCATCCCAGGGTCAGGTGCCCCTCGACTTATCTCCATGAAGTTGATTGATGAGTCAATGTTATGTGGACCATGAAGGCACAACAAGACTCGAAGCTCATTCACGGGTTCAAGCATTTGAAGCGCTCTCTGATGTGTTGGAGCACGCTTTCTGGCACGTGTGATGATTTGCATTACGACTGATGGAGCTTGCACAATTGTGAGGAAGATTGCAATAAGGATCATAATGCTTGTGGAAGTAGGTATGACTTTGTACTGTTTTAACGTATAAGCCAGTGTAACAAAACCAAAGGGAAACATGAAAGAGAAACAAAACACAACTTTAAGTTACTTGCATTATGAGAAAAATTGACATTAGTCTGAAATTAATGAAAATATGAGGAGATATACTATGACTTACCACTCGACCAATAACAGCAAGAAACACATGGAAATGGCCTTTTACTGTCAATAGGAGCCCAAGTTCAGCGGATTCACGCCAATGGAAACCTAGCATTACTCCGCAAATAACTGTTCCAATAAGCTTCCCAAACAATGCTATTGCTATAAGAAGAGAGAGGCGTGCCCAAGTCATCCAATGGCTGACATGAAACTCACTAAAATCAGCATGAATCCCCATCCAGAAGAAGAACACCGGATAGAAAACTGTTGTGAGCAAATAGTTAATCTTCCCAACTGCCCATTTGGACACCCTGCCTTCATTTGGAAGAAAAATTCCAGCCATAAATGCACTGAGGATGGGGCTATACCCATACATAGGGGAGGCACTACAAACCATAACCATGAATGCAATGGTAAGCACTAAATGTGAACCCTTCATAGGTTTCCCTTCAGGGTTCTCATTGTTGACCCAGTTCATGAATATTGGTGAAATTTTGGCTGCAAAGATGGTCTGGAGAAGTAATGCAGCACCCATAGTTAAGGCTTTAGTCATCCGAGTCGGCATATCCATTTGATATGTAGGTGCAAAGAGATAGCCAAAGCAGAGGAGGAACATAGAGACCAGGTCAGAATGAAGCCCGGCTGCAATCACAAGCTTTCCAATGTCTGATTTTCCTATTTTAAGGTTGGTTATAATCCTTGTTAGTATAGAAGAGCCGGTCCCAGATAGTGACAAAGATAAGGTAACAGTGAAACCAAGGGTGGCATTTTTGTTTGTGTAATGCAAAAATGGGGTCGTCCCACAAACCAAAAGGAAAGTTGAGACCATCCCTGCATAGGCCACCATGGCATCTTGAGATGGTGATTTGAAAATCATATATGGGTTCATCTCTAAACCTAGAGCAAAGACATGACATATCATGCCAAACTCAGCTATGAAATTCAATGTCTCGATGAACTTTGGATCAAATGCGTTGCGTATCCACTGTATGTTACCAATGATCAGACCTATCTGCAATTTAACAGATGCAATTTCTTAGGATCCAAACACAGGCATAAAGAAAAAATATTGAACATGAAAAAATAGAACCAAATTTAAGCCCTTGTGACCATGTCCTTACAGCAATATCAGAGGCTATTCGGGGTTGGGAAAGAGGCTTGAGAATGAGGTGCATGAGGTAACTCAAAACGTAGGTCATAATGAGGCCAATGACCTTTCCGGGCTCATTTTTCACTGTATACGTGATAAAGTTTTGGCAATTTGTTTCTTCTGTGGCAGCATTATTCTTGGCGGTGGTGGTAACATTGTTGAAAGATAGATTGTCATCCATTTTAGAAACAAGGAGGAAAAAGAAAAGAATTTCTTTTTGTCCAAAGAAGTTGGGTTGTTTGATGTTTTACTTGATTTCAACAGACTTGGTGTTCTTTTCTCTTTTACTTTTCTTTGTTTTTTTCTTCTAAGGATTTTCTTTCTGTTCTTCCTCAAATTTTTGTGGTATTTAGTGGTGGGAGATTTATTTGGCTTAGCATTGTGGAGAGAACTTGAAGGAGCAAATTGAGGAGATTCAACCATGCAGATGGTGGGTTATCTAAGTGACGAGTCCCATGAAAAGAGCATAATTAAAATGAAAAAGAAAGAATAAAGATAAATATAATGGATTTTTTATGGCGGGACATCAAATTTCTGTTTTGAAGGATGTCAACTTTATTTATGAAGAAACAAAAGGAAATGACTCTAAATAAAAGGGATATGAATAACATTATCACTAAATTTAATTTGTGACGGAGATGATCAGATGGAGACTTAAATATTTTCATAGTGTTTTTACTTAAAAACATTAAAAGGTAACACTCTAGTTTAGCGAGTCACTACTTTTACTAAAATAAACTTACCAAAACCGTTAAACATAAAAAGAATCTTAAAGGCTTGAAAAAATAGCAAAATTTTTCCCCATAAATAGAATACCATTATTACAAAATTGAAAACCAACTCAAATAATGTTTCATTGAAACTTGCATCACCGGACGTTGTAAACATCACAAATAAATGAACATAAAGTCTCGAATACTACTAAATACATGAGATCTAAAATCTTCATACTGGAAGTCCAATGAAGCCACCAATGCTCATCTTGATCTGGCTTCATCCCCTAGTATGCTTAGGTTCTTCTATCAATCCTAAGTTTAGTGTGGGATCAGCCATAATCCTAGGGGGAGGTAGAGATGTGACTTGCACGAACTACACTGCGAATTAAACTCTCAACTAGAGCCCAAGCATAAAATCTAGCTGGGTGCGGTATAGGGCAAGCGTTTTAAATGTCAAACTCGGGTCGGTCCATGTAATCCTACTTCAACCATTTGTAACATTATTTAGCAATCGATTTTTAGGGAAAACTACGGGTTACAATTGAAATCAAGTGAAAAGGGTAAATGGTTTTGAAAACTATATGAGAAAACTTCACCCGGGTGTTGCTCCCCTAGCTATATATCAAGATTAGTTGAAAAGAATGCAAGTGTGTGGAAAATTGGCTGTAAACCATAGGAGAGCGCACCTAGTGAAGAAGCTTCACTCTCTCGGTCGATGGGCCAAGGAATGTCCAATTAAGCTAACGAATTAGATCTCTTGGTCAATCAACTAAGGGTTGCCAAGGCTACTCCCTTAGACCTTAAGCCGGATGGAAAAACAACAACCAACTCAAAGCACTAAAACAAAGTTTTAGGTTTTCCCTAATTTAGCTAAGTAGGTAGCTCAATCGGCCAAGGAATTCCAGTTTTTAAAAGCCTCGTAACAAGAAGGGGATTTCCCTCTATCTAGGTTAAATTGGCATAATAATGAGAAATAGAGAACACAACTCAAACCTTCACCTCACTACTTGCATTAAAACACAACCCCACACAAAACATTCAATTCATACAACCTATCACATAGTTCTAGCTAGGGTTTACAACACCCAAGTGAAAGAAGTGAACTAGACCATGCATAGACTAAGGAATACAACAAAGAAGGGAGAAAAGACCATGAGATTCCCAAATCTTAAAGCTTGGAGCCAACCCTAGCTTTCTTATCCTCTCTTGTTCTTCACTATCTCTCTCTAGAATCTGAGGAAGAAGATGTAATTCTCTCACTAGGCTCTCCCCTCTTATTTTAGCTCCCTTCTCCTAAAATATCCAGATCGTGCGCGTTTTACGGTCCCAGTTCACAGTCGTGAACTTGAAGCTTGGACCGTGATCTCGAACAAAAACATGTTGTATCATTTAAGGACTTCACGGTCGGGGGAGGATTATCACGATCGCGTGACCTTGATGTCGTTTAGGCCCACGGGCACAAAACCTGCTCTAGTCTCCTTGCGCTTCACGATAAGGGCTCCATTATCATGGTCGACGTGACCGTGAAAAACTGGCTTCCACCGTGATCCTTGCTTGTTTGCTCCCTCCGATCCGTTTTTGCCCCCTTATGTCCAAATTTTGCTCCCGATGCCAATTCCACTTGCTAGGATTTGAAACATGCTAGAAACACGCACAACCTTGCGTAAAATCGAACCTCACGGGACGAAAATGCCTCAAACACCTCAAGAACATGGGTAGAAAACATGTGCAATTGGACTAGAATAAAGCTCAGGCAATTTGCCATGCTTTAAGATGCCTATTACTTGGCAATGAAGGTCGAATAACGGCTTAAGGCATCATTTGGAAGAAACATGTATCCTTCTTCCAACTCAGGAGCTTATCATCCAAAACTAGAACCTGCAGTTCAAGTTCCAGCTCGTAGTGCAATGAATAAAACTCAAAGTGACCCCAAGCATAACACTAATGAGAAGATAGACTTGATTATCTGTTTCAAGTGTAGAGGTAAGGGTCACAAAGCTAACCAATGCCCCCAACAAGCGAGCTCTTGTGTTGCTTGATGATGGAGAGTACGGGTTCAACGAAGAGGAAGAAGTAGAAGAACAAAATAAAGATGATAACGATGATGATGATACTAACGTGGATGAGAATATTGAGATGGAAGAGGAACCTAGTCCTCTTCTAGGATATCATCTCATGGTCATAAAGCCTCCCAAAGGGAATTTTCTCAATCAACGAGCACTCACCATCACTGCCATTGAAGTGGCAAATCAGATGCTAAATATTTTTCACACTCATTGCAAAGTGAGTACCCATTTGGCTTCAATGATTATTGATGGAGGTAGATGTGTGTATGTAGTTAGTGCTAAAGCAGTGAATCATTGGGGATTGAAGACTGAAAAGCATCCAGAGCCCTACAATCTGAGATAGTTGAATGACTACAGATTAGTAAAGACGAATGCCCGAGGTTGTGGTTCCGTTTGAGATTGGAACTTACAAGGAATTTTCCATGTGCGATGTTTTTCCAATGCAAGCCACCCACCTTGTCATTGGGAGGCCATGGCAGTACGAAAAGAAAGCTATGCACAACGAACATACCAACTTGTATGTCTTCAAGAACGAACGAAGAACACTGGAGCTTTTGTCGTTGTCTCCAACAGAGGTAGTAGGAGACTAACGGAAGCTTGACAAAAGATTTGTAGAGCCTAGAAGTAGCTCAACTCACTCCAAGAAGCAGTCAGAACAAATTTTGATGGCCCAAAGATATATGCTGACAAGTTTGTAGGGGGCATAATATCAAAGTTCGTCGACGGAAGGAGCTGCCCTGTTCTGACGCACCCCTGAAGCAACCCACCTGGCTTGGAGCACTAGAGCCCACTACTGAAATCACGGAGGGAGTGGACAAACCACAAATCTACCCAACAAGCTTGAGTAAACTAAATAAGGGAACTATGTCTTCGACAACTTTGATCCTGGAGTTGAGTTCTTCGTGCCCATAAAAGACGTTCTTCGACTCAAAGAACTCAAGGTCGGATTCAGAGTTCCAGGAAGGATTGGACCCAATTGAGAAGCGCAATCCGATAAAAAATCAATCCAGAAAGAAATCCCCAATTTCAATTTTCAAGTGACCGGAGCTAGGCGACAGAAAATGCGGGAAAGATTCCAAGAGATCGTCAATTTATTTGAAGCATCGACGAACTTCTAGAGTGTGTGTGAAAATGATACTTGGGAGCCTAGCACATCTCGTGGACACAAAAAGTTGGACGCTCGAAGTATGTACGAAGAATTCCTAATTTTTGAAGTTCTGCTGAAACTCAATCGACGGTCGCTGGAGTTTGTAGACTCATCGCCAGAAATTGAAAATTTTCCAGTTCAAAATTTTGACTTTTTCTTGCAAGAATTTGTTGGGGAATTCATGGTGGAAGTATCTTACGAACTGTCCGAGGTCATTCCAACATCAATGGTCACTAGGAATAAACTGATTCAAGTCCAAGAGCAGCTCGATTCAAAGGAGCACAATTTCGACTTATGGGATCCTATTAGGGAAGCTACTTTGCTTCATTTTCATTGTGACTCACTAACTCAAAACACCAAACTACGAACAAGTGTAATCGCCGTCTGTAAATGGAGTATAGTGGGTTCAGAATTACTTGTCAACCCGAGGCCTAGATTTACTGTCTACTCCGTGAATATCTATTATTTAGCGGTTCAGTTCGGGTGAAGTGTTCAAAAGTAAATTAAACAGAAAGCAGGAAATGTTCGTGTTTCAAATATGAAAAAGGTCATCCAGATATGAGTCCCCCTAGTCTGCAGTCAGTTCAGATTATAATTCCCCAATAGGTTTCAAATGATAGATATACCGCGGAAAGTTCTTGACAAGTCTGGAATATCGACTAAAGAATTCCAGACCCTCTCAGTTTGAATACCCGGTGGGCGACTAACCTCCACCAGCGTAAACTAACCGAGACAATAACACACCAAACTTCCACCACTGGTTTCAATTCCAGTAAAGAGAAGTGAACCGATTCCTTGACTAAAGTAATAAATCCACTACTTCCAATTAAGGTTTCTATATTAATTTATGCAGAGACTATCGTTCTAGGTTAGAGCAAGAATCACAAAAGTTTGATCAAGACTAATGCGATTTTGATTAATGCCTCAATTAATTATATCAAATCAATCATTTACAAAACTGGGTTCATAAAACCATTCCTAACATCCAAGACTAGGGTTCTTCATACCCAGATGAAAATGGAGTTTACTCCATAGAGAGAAGAGAAATCACAAAGCTTGGAAGAGAAATCATCATGTGAGGTATGAGAATATGCTTCAGGCTGGAAATTGACACTCCGGGGGTGAAAGATCGAGCTTCAATGTCCTTAGATCACTCCAATCCTTTCCCAAGGTTGTCTTTGTCACTTTCTCTCTCTAGGGCTATCTCTAATTGTTTTCAAACTTGCAAAATCGGATAATGAATCAAATTCCCCAACTGTATCTTAGAAGACTAGACGCTGAAATCCACGATCGTGGAAATGGCATCCAGACAGTGAATTTCCAAAATGGCATTTGGAACTAAGTGGTTCTCAAGACAAT